CAGAGAATGATTAGATAATAAACACCTAATTCAACACATAATTTTAAGCTGACAATCTTGGAGTTTAGACTTAATTCAAATTATAGACATAAGGTAGGTATTATCTCCAAAACAAAATAAACTTCATTAGTTTCCAACTGTAGGTTCCTAAACAAAGTATTTACATGTATCAATCCTTTTTTTTTAAATTTCAATACATTGTTGACCCAGCGTAAACAGAATTTAGCATTATATGGGTCCATCTGAACATCTCACTATATTGAAACCAAAACAGACTCTGACTGTTTCACTGCTCCCAGATTATTCGCTGGCTCAATAGTTTCAATTGATAGTATCAACACCATACATTTTCTGCTGCCTTAAATTGGTGTTGCCTCCTTTATTCCTCCTCCTTTAGCAGTAGTCATTACAACTTTCCTCTCTCTTTTCCCATTATTCTGCTTCCTGATTTTCTTGCACATGGGAATACTGAGCCTCTAGTGATTTATGACTGGATCAAAGCACACAATTAGTGACAAGCAGATCCTGGACTTGACTCCTTTCTCCTGTGTTTTTCTCCTGGCTTGTGGGCAAGGGCTCTTGCCACTATACCTATTAACTCATATGAAAGATCTGTGATATAAATCCTGGGAACCCTCATTAACACAGTTCCACTTGGAGCAGTGATTCTGTGACATGGAATCAAGGACACAGTGTGTGGCAAAGAAAACAAAACAAGTTTCTTTCTTTTTTTATCTTTTTTTTTTTGGTGGGGTTCTTTTGGAACTGGGGGTCAAACCCAGGACTTTGAGAATGCAAGGCAGATGCTTTGCCACTGAGCTACATCCCAGCCCTACAAGTTTCTTTTATATTACCTAAAATAATATATTATTTGTGAATTAAAGTCTGACTTATTAACCAACACAATTTTTTTTCACTTATCAGATTGAAAATAATCAAAAAGTTGAATATAATCCTGCATCTGAGGCTATAGGGTAGCAGGTACTCTCCTTCATTACTGGTGAGAGGACACAATGATACAATCTCCATGAAGGACATTTTGGCAAGATTTTTAATAGTTACGAATGTGTTTGCTCTTTGACTCAGCAATCTCACTTCTGGGAATGCATCATACTGACACATCTGCACACATCAAAATGATTTATGTCCAAGGTTATTCACTACTGCATTATTTGAAAAAGCAAAAGATTGAAAGCAACCCAAGTGTCTATCCGCAAAGGAGTGGTTAATTAAATTATGGTACGTGCACACAATGGAATATTAGGTAGCTATAAAAAACAAAGAGGAAGCAAGAGATGTACTGATAAAGAAATATTTCTAGGAAACATTGTTAAAAGTGAAGTGAGAAGTGATGAAAAAAGTAAATAATAATCTACTATTCTTTGTTTTCTGGTTCTAGGGATTGAACCCAGGCCTCCAACATACTAGTAAATCTCTACCACTTATTATATCCCCTTTCTTGTATTTTTTTTTAAGATAGGGCCTCAGAAAGTTGCACAAAGTGACCTTAAACTTCTGTTCTTCCTCTTTCAGTCTCTCAAGTAGCTGGGATTATAGGTATGTGCTACCACATCCAATGATGATCTACATTTTATATAAAAAATAAAGGGAGTAGTATGAGCAATTAATACAAATGGTTAACCAAAAGGGAAGTAAGGAGTGAGGTATATAGGGGGAAAAGGGAAATAAGTCTTCTCATTTGTGTTATACTTTGTTCAACTTTAAGTTTCTAAAAAAGAATCATTCAAACATATTATCTATTAGAATAACTAAATAAAATTTTAGAAGATACACTTTGAGTTTCATTGTTCTTGTTAAATTGCAGATTGGGTAAAGAGTCTCTTACACTCTTTCAAATGGGAATATTGAATTATCTCCTCAGATAGGCTCTCCTTCTAAAAGAAAAGGGTAAAAAGGAATACTAAATCACTCTCTAATAACCTCACTGAATAATCATTTAGTAACTTACTGCTCTGTGGCATGAAGATATCTAACAAGATTGATCTGGCTGATGTTTCTCACTGTTTTTTATGTTATTTTATTTTGGCTAGAAAGAGTAATAGATCATAAAGACCTCCATATTCCAATTGTGTCCATGTTATGTCTGAAAGGGAACTAGCAAAACTAACATTTCAAATGAATAATCACTATTTTTTAAAAATACCATGAAATACAGCAGAAAAACATGACATGATTAAACTAAGATGCAGAGAAGTGTAAAATAAATAAATTTTAAAAGCTTCTTTATGCATCAGAGTTGTTACTAGAATAGAATAGAGTTGGAGAGAAATCTGGTATTAATGTTACATAATCAGAACTATACTTTATCATTATATATTGTTATCATTAAAAATGAAATAAACAGTAACTGTGATTCTAGAAAGATCAGTTAACCATGTCTGAGCCTCAGTTTCCCTACCTTACATGGGAATAACAATAATATCTTGTTCCCAAGGGGGGCTTAAAGAAATAAATGACATGATGTACTTAAAACTAGGCCTGACATTCAGTAAGTGTGCATTAAGTGAAAGCTATTATTTTTATCTTATTTGATTGGCAGGAGTTGTATAAGATAGAAAATATCAATTTTATCAGATATGATTCTGATATAAATTTTAATAACAGTATAATACTTATGACTGCTAATCATAAAATGATATATAAAATTCAATGAATACTATGATAGAAAAAGATGAAATATACAAGCACATTAATAGGGCAAGTATTGGTGTAGTAAAACCATCTCTCTATATATTTTTTCTATATATTATATATAAATTATATATATAAAAATATATATATAATTCTTTCCTATATAATGTTTTAAAATATTTAATAACTTTATGGCAATGTAGATATATAAAATTAAATTTGGCAGGGGAGAAAGATAAAATAAATTGTCAAAAATAATAAACTACCTTGATACAGATTGTAATTGAGTATCTACCACACCCCCACTCTACCCCCAATACACAAATACTCTAAAAAACACTACTGCAATTGTGTGTAAACTCTTCAAGGTTAGGTCTGTAAGATGTGCTTCTAGGACAGGGAATGAGTTACATCACAATATGAAAGAAAGTTAAGTTAGATACTGCTAGTTGATTTCCCAGTATCTTCTCCTCTTCTGTAGTAACAGAACCCCAATTTTGTCATAATGGCATTGTTCTCTATTAAAAATACTTTCCTAGACCAGTAGAGTAGGGATGGAGATGAAGGAGAGAAGGCAGGAAAGAAATAGGCCATACCATGCTACATGCAGGTATGAATATATCACAATGAAGCTTACTTTTATGCACAGTAATAATTCACCTATAAAAACGTTTTTAAGAAATACCTTCCCTTGGGGCTGGGAATGTGGCTCAAGTGGTAGCGTGCTCGCCTGGCATTCATGTGGCCCGGGTTCGATTCTCAGCACCACATATAAACAAAGATGTTGTGTCCACTGAAAACTAAAAAAATAAAACATTAAAAAATTCTCTCTCTCACTCTCTCTTTTTTTTAAAAAAAGAAATACCCTCCCAGAGTTCCTTGCAGCTCTAATTGGCCAAATGACACAGGCTAGCCAATGAAATACACCCTATTTTGCCATATAATCATTGGCACTACATTAACATATATTCGGGATTATTCCATGCATTCTAATCTTGCACCAAAGACAGTTTAGTAAAAAATAATTTTTAAATAATACTGGTGCAACTTATTATTTTATAAGAGATTCATGTAGTAGTTGTACTCCACCTTTTTGCAGAACATAAAAATTTAAAAAATGGGCAAAAAATATGCAATGATTATGTGGTGAAATATGGTAATCAGAATCCACAGGAGAGACTCACCTGGCCTGGGTTTTTTTTGTTTTTTGTTTTTTGTTTTTCTTTTCCTCCACCTATGGTCCTATTCTCCTTCTTCCTGTTGGGAATGCAAATGTGTTGTCTGGTCCCAGTAGTACTGTTACAATTGTGCTTCAGAAGTGACATGCTAATCATGGCAGGATAGAAATGTGTGAGTCTGGGTGTCTGCCAGGCCCAGGTTCTTCAAGTCACTTACTTTCCTGGACCAGTCTTCTTGTTAGGTGAAAAGAACTCCTTCTGTATATAGAAGAATATTTGGTAAGAATATTTTTTTCCTTTATGAAGGCAAACACATTCTAACTAATATGTACCAACCACCAACTATGCCTAAAGGTGATTTCAGAAAAGGATCTCTTTTCTGAAATTTGGAACAAAACAAAGCGTGTCAGAGTTCAGAAGAGCATTGAACAGGCCATGCTAACTCTGCTTATTCATCATACATCTACTAACGGCATATTTACCTCTGTGACTCTATTCTGGAATGTCACCAGGACCTGCTGTACTTGTGAACTTGTTGTTTTGCTTGTCTGTTTCATGTTAAAAAGGCTGATAATGTGGCATATATTATATTCTTCCATGCCAGGAAACCAGGTCTAAATGCAGTCTTAGAATTATGTGTATCAATGTTAATCAGTAATTATTTAGGTTGCTTTGGGCAGAGGATGTTGATCAACAGCATGATACAGAATCAGTGATTTCTTCCCAAAGGAGGAGATAGTTTGAAAGAATATTTTAGCTGGAAACTGTCTTCTCCACACCAAAATTCAGCCTGGCCCTATGGATCTCCATTATAGCAAAATAGATACAGCGCAAAGAAAACCCCACAAAACCTCATTCATTTCGGAATACAAGGTAACTGTGATTTTTCCTTCAAAAACTAGATGTGCTTCTGTTTCAGCATAGTTAGTATTAGCGTTGGTATGTGGCTGTTAGCACATCTGTGGCAAGTGAGAGATTTGGGGCTTAGGTACAGGTATATATGCCTCTCATGCTTTCACCATTTCATGGAAGGGTACATTTTCTGATTAATGACTAAGTTGAGCATAAAATTGAAACAGTTGTAAACTAAGAGATTAAGGATTTTCGTGTTATAGAAACATGAAATGGCCATCCAACACAGACTTATGGTCTATACTCCCTTCCCTACAGCACAATAAAGCTGACAAAGTATGATGATGTAGCAGTGTGACATGCGGAGATCAATGGATACCTGCTTCAGGAGAATCTTATGTAAGGCAAAGCTGCCCATCTCCCCATTCATTTCACAGGTAAGTGTTCTCTGAGTTTGGTGGAGTCAAAATTGCTTAGTGAGAGAGAAGTGTATTGGAATAACAAGCACAAACCTTTGCATTAAAATTAATTAATATGCACTGACAGCTCAACTGGAGAAGCATCAACTGATACCGTAATGGTGAAGCCTCACCTCATTTACCAGTCAGGGTCCTGGCAGGTAACATATGGCATGATCAAATTGAGTAATTTGAAGAGAGCTTAACAGAGAGACTGTATGCAAAGATATGCACAAGGTTTAGATATACAATAGGGATGGAACAAAACCCCCAAACAGGGACCTTTTAACACCTCTAAGTCTGAAGGGACAAGGTCAAGAGTGCAGTCTGAGAAAAGAATGAACTTCCTTATGGAAGCTAAGAAAATTGGGAGGGGGAAGGAATAATTCAGTTTGAGATAACATGGTAAGAGAGAGAAAAGGAAATAAATACCCAGACTTCATTCTACTGATTTCCTGCTGGTTTTTCTTTAACTGAGTCCCACTGGAAGCCACTGGCCAAGGAACTCCATGGTTAAAATTCATAGGTTTCAGCTTCCTGAGAAACAAAAAGTGGGGGAGAAAGATATCCAGAGTATTCCAAATGGTTCTAATGAAGACAATTCATTGAGAGACTACTTATAAGAGGTTTGGGCAGGTTAGAGACCTATGAAAGACTTCCATCCTTAACAGTTGATAGATCCTGTTCTCACTAGTCCTGTTCCTATATTTAATTGACTTCTAAAATGCTCCTAGTAATTTCTCTTTACTTCTGATAGTAGTAGTTACTTCTTAACTCCCATTCTGCCCCTCCTGCACATATGCAAACAGACACATTCAATAGGAACAGAATTTTGCCAAATTGATTAAACTCTTCAGAGAGCCAACTTTTGGCTAAGTTGATGCTTTCTATTTTGTATTTAATTATTTTCTATTCTTTGTTATTTTCTTTCTTCTCTAAGATTATTTTGTTGATTTTGATTTAAATAATTGTAATAGATACTTAGTTCACTAAATTTGGGCCCTTATTTTTTAAATATATAGTTATATTTTTTTTTCCTCTGTGTTCCACTTTAACTGTATTCCACAAGAGTCAATTAGAAATGACCCATGGGTAAGTTAGAAATGCACTTTTTAATTTATAAGCATGGGATCATTTCAATTACCTTTAAAAAATTAATGCCATTTTTAATTTGATGTGATCAGAAAATGTGCTTCATAGTATTCTAGCCCTTTGAAATGTGATAAAACTTGCTCAATATATGGTCAACTGTTTTAAATGTTTCATTTGTTCTTTAAAAGACTGTGTATTCAACACTGGTTTACTTTGTGTCTTATACCAATTTTATTAAATTGATTTTTCAAGTACTATCATCTTACAAATTTCAACTCTAATACAGTCTTATTTATATATTGCTACTTGTTTCTTCATCAATTTCCAAGAGAAACTATTTTTCTCTCAACTAAAATTTTGAATAATAGTTTGAAACAGTTTTTATATATGAAGCAAAATATAAAATTGTTATATTATCCTTTTAAGTGAAACCTCTTACTCAATATACTAAATTTCTTTTTTTTTTATTGTCAAGCATTTTGCCTAAAAATGTGATGTGTAAGCATTTCCATGGTATTTCTTTTGTATCCCTTCTTTTTCTATTTTTCTATATTGGAATTGTATTTGTTACAAATATCATCCAGTTGTATCTTTTATTTTTTTCTGACAATCTCTGTCCTGTAGCTGGTTCACGTAGTCTATTAAATAAATTAATGTGAATATTGTCTATTTACCTGATGTAAATTTAGCCTCTTATTTTGTCCTATTTTTCCCCTCATATGCTATTCTGTTTATTTTTAATTTTTCAGAATTTTCTTTAGAATTGATTGATTGATTGTGTGTGTGTGTATGTGTGTGTGTAAGTCACCATATCTTATTTTTATTTCCTGTTTGAATTTATACACTTTTAATCTTCTTTTAGTGGTTACTCTAGAAAATTTATGTGTGTTCTTAAAAATCAACAAAGTCTAAAAGTAATAACTACTTTTACTTTTTATTATTAGGATATATTTCCTCAATAAACTTCGCATATTTTAGATATTATCAATTTTATTTTCACCTTTTTAAAAATTCTACTATTATCATCATAATATACTGTCAATGTTCATTTAGATTGACTGACCTATTTTCACCTTTTCTGTACTTTTCATTTTCTTTAATATCCAGGTTTATTTTCCTTCTTGCTGAAGCACATTCTTTAGAATTTTCTTAAATGAACATCTATTGGCAGCAAACTTATTGTATAATTATCTGAAAATGATTTTTCCCCTTTATAAACCACTTAACATATTTATTTTCTACACAGATTATAATGCATGAAAAACAAATGGTTAATTAACAGGTCAGATATGGTAGATGGAATGAGTTTCAGAAAGATATGAAAATGAGATATGGAAACCTTTCCTGAAGACATTTTACTTTCTTTTTCTCTAAACTTTGCTTTCTTATCTTGATATGGGCTTGTTTCGCAAGTCTCAATCTGAGAAAATGATCCACCTAAGGCATTACAAAGACTATCTTATAGGCCACTGTTTGAACTTGTGCTAGATGTTTCTTCCAAAGATGTCTCTTCTCCAAGCACAGGGTCTAGCTTTTTCCTGGCCCCTCTAGAGAAGAAGCCTTAGTGCTCTCTTTCCTGGAAAACTTTACTAATGCACCATGGTATCAACCACCTTTTCTAAGCACTCTGGGTTTGGTATTGTCAATCTCTGCCTCTTGGGATCCTGCTTGAGAGTGTGAAGCATGTTTCTTTCACAAGGACACACAAAAATTTATGTAAATCTCCGATACATTTATCCCTTAATTTCTGACTAGTCCAAGCAGCTCCATATTTTCCTTTTCCTTCTCCTCAATTCTTTGGGTCATCAAAAAATCCTTCTAGTATTCTATTTGACAATGTGATGTGAAGTAATCTACACTGGTGAAAGAATGTGACATTTGGTATGTTCTAAGCAAACTAAGAGAAAACCTACACCCTAGCTAGTGGAGGCCTTCAGAGTTATTGACCACCCAGAAGCCATCATCATGGCTGAGACTCTTCTACACAGAATGGGAATTTTGCTATTTTTTTCTCCACATAATTAAGCAGACTGTGTTTCCTGAAAATGGCTTTTGATCTTTTTGAAAATATATATTATTACTAAGCTTAGGATAGAAGTCAATTTCTTTCAGTATATCATTTCTTTCAGCAAATATCACTCTTTTTTAACTTCTCTTATTACTATTGAAAGTCAATCTACTGTACCTCTTTTGAAAGTAACCTATTTGTATGGGGTTGAATGTTCCTCAAAATTTCATATCTATTCAGGACCTCAAAATCTGATCCTACTTAGAAAGGGGATTATGGCTGATATAATTGGTTAAAGATCTGAAGTCAAAGTCATTCTGAATTTAGAGTGGGCTCTAAACCAGTGACTTTGTCCTTTTAAGAAGAGGAGAGAACACAGAAACAGAGAGAGGAGGATGTCATGTTGAGCAAGAAGCAGAGATTGGAATAATGCAGCTGTAAGCCAAAGAATGCCAAGAATTGCCAATAACCACCACTAGCTAGGGGAAGCATGACAGATTTTTCCCTTGATGTCTCCAGATAGAAAGGACAACTCCATTCAGACTTCTGGCTTTCAGTAATGTGAGGGAATAAATTTCTGTCATTTAAGCAACACAGTGTGTGTAATTGTTACAGCCAACTCTATGAAACTGATACAAATTTTGGTACAGAAAGTAAGGTGTTACTGTAACATACTTAAACAGATGTTCTAAACTACTGTAAGCAGATATCTAAAAATACAGAGTGGTTTTAATTTGCATAACAGGTAGAGGCTGGAAGAATTTTAAGGTGTTTGATTAAAAAATCATAGGCTTCTTTGAAGAAACAGTTGGTAAAAATATAAATGTTAAAGATGCTTCTGGTGAGGTATTAGAAGGAAAAGAAGGACATGATATTAGACTTGGGAGGAAAGTCAATCCTTCCTATAAAGTACTGAGAACAAGATTGAAGTATCTTGATTGGCAAGAAAGAACCAACTACAAGTGAGAATTGGGATATTTAGCTAAGGAGATTTCAGATCACAGAGTGAAAGGTGCAGCCTACTTACTTGTTGTAAGTACTTGTTGTAAAATATGACAGGAATGAGATCAATTGAGGAAAAAACTGTTAAGCAGAAAGGAGCCAGCACATTATGATTTGGAAAATTTTCAACCTATTCATATTGCAAAAAAAAAAGAGAAATGCTAAAACATGTGCTGGACCAAACAGTGTGGGGCTGGAAACCTTTTGCTAGAGATTAGGCATGTGAATCATCCGTTGAAAATCTCAGTGGAAACCAGAAATAGAAATGAGATTACACAGGAAGGACCTGTGGGAAAATACTCACGTTTAATGGTATGAACCTCCTTGAAATATATGGGAAACCCACAAGGTTAATGAGAATGTTATATCTACAGAAATACTACAAGTTTAGACTGACAGAGACTGAATAAAATTAAGGAAGGATGTTGACAGTGAGATTCTATAGGCAGGAAATAGCTGATAGAATTGCTCAGCTATAGATGCGTAATACCCCTTAAGGAAAAATAATGAAAAAAAAAAGAAGAAAAAGGAATGAAAGAAAGAAAGGAAGGAAGGAAGAAAAATAGATAGATCAATCGATTGATTGATTGATCCTGGAAGTAAAACTGGATACAGTAACAGCAGCCATAGAATTGGGCTCCAGGGTCTTTACAGTGGACTGAGCCACAAGGATTAATCTCAGGCCTTGAGAAACAGTAGATTTTGTCCTACTGGGAGGTTGTTTGGGACCAATGACCACTTTCTTTTTCCTGTTTTCTCCCTTTTAGTATGGCAATGTCTGTTCTATGACTGACTTATTATATTTAGAAAGCAGATTTTCTTTCTTTCTTTTCTTTTTTTTTTTTTACTTCTCAGATCCACAAGGGAAAGATAAATT